AAAGGGAAGTTTGTTCATACCAAAACCAAATGCGATAAGAAATAAGGTCGCAACTTTCTCGCCGTAGTAATAAGGGCTAATTCCGCTTTCTCCACCTCTGCATATTTCATATCCGCCCCTTGCAACAACCGGCTAACGTAGTAAATAGGCTGCTGACCACCCCCTTCCTCCTTCAACAGGACCGAACTTATGGCCACCTTGCCCACATAAAGATACAAAATCAGCACATCCGTTGGATCTGGTTTGGTGAGAAAGGGTAACTCTGCCAGGAACTGCTTGAGTCTGGTAAAGGCTTCCTGCGCCTGCGTGGACCATTGAAAACGTGCCCCTCGTCGGAGAGCTCGAAAAAAACAGAAACTCCTTTCTGCTGCATGGGCTATGAACCGGCTGAGTCCTGCCAAACGGCCCGTGAGAATCTGCACTTCCTTTATATTTCTAGGTGGCTGCATTCCGAGCACCGCCCTCACCTTCTCAAGATTAACTTCTATACCCCGCCCCGTAACCATACAACCGAGGAATTTGCCTGACCTTACCCCAAACTTACACTTCGTAGGGTTTAGCTTCATCCTGTATCGCCTCAACGTCTCGAAGGTCTCCTTCAGATCCCCCACGTGGTCATCTGCTTTCCGGCTCTCAACCAACATGTTATCCACGTAAACTTCCATGTTTCGCCCCAACTATCCCTCGAACACCTTATCCACTAAACGTTAATACGTTGCCCCGGTGTTCTGCAGACCGAAAGGCATGACAATATAATAATAAGTACCCTTAAAGGTAACAAAACTCACACGCTTCTGGCCCTCCTCAGCCAATGGTATTTGACGATATCCCTGTGAGGCGTTCATCATGCTCAACAGTTCGCAACCCGCAGTTGAATCCACCAATTGATCAATGTGCGGTAAAGGATAATGGTCCTTTGGGCATGCCTTGTTAAGGTCCCTAAAATCCGTGCACATACACCACTTATTCTCTGCCTTCTTCACCATGACTTGATTAGAGAGCCATTCCGGGAATTGGATGGACTTAATGTGACCAGACGACTTCTTTACCTCCTTCTCGATAATAGCATCCAATTCCATCCCAAAATGTCTCATTTTCTGCTTGACGGCCTCACCCTATGGCCAATGTTTAGCTTGTGCTCAGCCACTCTAGGGTCGATTCCTACCAACTCGTTCTCCGTAAATGCAAAAATATCGGCATACTCTCTGAGCAGTGCCACTAACTGCCCCTTAATAGGTTCTTCCAACTCTTTTCCTACCCGTGTCACTTTCTCCTGCTCCCATTCCACCAGAACGATCTCCACTAACTCGTGTTGTGAAACTATCTCCCCTCTAGCTTCCTTCACCCTGCTCGGGCCTTCCTCCCCAA